AAGCGCTGAACGTGTTTTTATTCAAGTGGTTTAATCATGAGGTCACAGAATATAATACTTCTTAGTAGACCCTTAAATATCAGAACTGAGGATCACGAAGTCCAATAATCTCCCGATTCACATTTCAAAAAATTCAAAAATGTCGAAGCAACATTTGCTACGCCGTGCGAATTATTTTCATTCAGATACCAAGAAATTGGTATCTTGCATTTGACAATGGAGAAGATCCTATTACGAGTGACTTGGAATGCAAAACAGCTCTAAACATGAAGTTAACGAAAACTGGATTCAAGTTTACCGGAAAATATTTTGTGAACGGTTAAATATTTATATTTTACATTTTATCATGTTCAAGTTTATTATTATTCGAGAAAAACGGAATACCAGGTGTTTATGATATCACGTCAGTAGAAATAATGAATAATTTGCTTAATTGGGTCCTCGGATCGGGTTGTAATTGTAAATTTAGGTTTGCAACTAAAATCACAACTTTTGACGAATATAGAAATTTCTAGGTCATTTTTTAAAAACTAAACAGATTTGACAGAAAAATATTGCCATATTTCATATTTTAGAAAAAAAGAGGGCGAAGTGGAAGTAACCAAATATCTTCAACCCAATGAAAATACAATAATCGTCTTCCAAAAGGTTTGCTTATCTCAATTATTTTTTTTTCTTCATATTTTAATCATATTTCATGCATGCCAAAGCGGTAATACTAATGCTATTTGAAGCAGTTTAACATTATTACTTATTAGGCATATTTTGTATTTTATTTAGGAAAATATGTTTACAATCGTAATGGGAAATTGAACAATAAAGCTGTTATCGATGGTTGGATTTTCATTGAAATCTTATATTTGAAACGAATATGAACGTAGTTTTAAAAGTCAAAACATAGCAAATATATGATCGTAAATGATATTATTTTGTGTTTATAATAATATGACGCTTGTGTGATTAATCTTAATCAGTTTGGTGCAACAAATAAAAGCCATATAAGTTATGTATTTTAGTTTGGTCACTTTTTTCAAGAACAGGCAACAAACACACTGAAGCTAGCTAAATGTACAAAACATATAATAGTAGTAATATAGTTCAAGAAGTTCGGGTATGCCTAAGCTTAATATTCCCATTCAAGAAATTAATTCATTTATTTCATTTGTTTATACAACGTATATATAGCAAATCAACTGAACAGTCGCGAAGGCGAGACATTTCACTTGACGGACAATGAGTCTTACTTCTTTCACATTAGCTGTGATGAAAAAGGTAAGGCATTAGTTATTAGTAATTTGAAGAGTGCGTGCATGGGAATTTTTACATGTCTTATTTTTAGTTGGATACACGTAGCAAAATTAACTTACCACCAGGTTCAAAATTGTCGTATGCATGTAGTTAGTATCTTATGTTGCTCCTGATAACTTCTTAAGTCAGACATAATGGCTTTTGCAACATTGATTTATGTGGACTACTGTCTTGAATATGTTTTTACAGTATGAAGCGATTCGATAAAACATACAGCTGGGTAAATGCACCTTACCTCTTCACAATAGCTATTTCATCTTTGCTATTTAGAATAAACGATAAAGTAACAAAAGCGGAAATGAAAAAAATATTTATTTCCTGTAGCAAAGTAATAACAAATTTGCTATTTTTAGATGGTTACATCATATGGGCTTTCACTGCGACTCCTAATGCAGATGTTCTAACCCTAATCAGAGCTAATAACGCTCTCAGCGATTTTGGAATTCGACCGAAATTCAAGCTTTCAGGATGTTCCGACAAGTCGATTGATTTTACAAAATAAGATAAAAATTGACATGACAAACTTTGAATAAATATGCAGACTTATTGCAACATCTCTATATATTATAAGGAATTGTTAGCATGTTCAGTGGGAGTACTTTGTACATATGCAAGCATATTGCACGAACTAAAATACAAATGTATACACGACATTGCAAGTATGTTTCTCCGGTTACTGACCCAGAAAATGTTTGATATGTTACTTCTGTAGGTAGTTTAGACAAAATGTTGTCAAGCGGGATGTAACTGAAGTGAAGAATGAAGTGCACGTTTTCTAGGTAGAATTGGAGTTATAAAATGTAGTGTGGGACTATTAAGGTGTCCCGGAATGGTTTAACACAAAGTTGGCAACCCTACTTATAATGCTTTTACTTTATCGTATTAAATTGTACTCAGACATTGGGATTTTGGAAACGGTGATATCCTAAAAATAGCTTAAACCAAAATTCAGATTGTAGTATTTCAGAATAGTAAAATTTTCATTTATTGTAACTCGGCGCAACGGCGATTCACGTTAAAAATAATTGAATTAATATCGCGAGACAATTTTAATGCTCGTATCGGCCATGAACTGAATATTTTACGCAACAGAAAATCATCATTGGTGACAAAGTCGGCAATTTTAATGAATGTCGTGAGCGCGACGACTCGTTTCCCCTATAAATGTACTGAAAATATAGTAACCGCAAGTCATCTGGCATTTTTGACGAAGTAAAATTGTTGATTCTTTCATTTCTAACATCATATTTGATGGTAGAAAAGGGTCACATCAAATAATGATGATTTTATATTGTACCTGACTAAAATTCCTCCATCTTATTAACAACATCAGGTACCATGCTATTTCTTAATTGATTCGCAATAAATTTGTTTGTAACTTGATGTTTTGTTGTAGTTTTTGGGGGCGATGATAACGTTAAAAGTACAGTATGGGGCGAAAAAAATTTGAGAACCTTTGGTCTAGTACATGATTTACAGTACTTAATTATTTTGTCTGTACTCATGACATTTTCAATGTTCTTTCAACGCTAATATTTCAACGTTATTTACTATGTCCCCTGCTGCAAATACCTAATGCTTTACATCACTTAAACGCGATTAGTGAAACGGGAAGGCGATTGACTAATGACTGATAGATAGACTTGCGAGTTGCGAATTTGCAAATAAACCGTTTTTGATCATATTGAGTTTTGATCATCCGGCCCAGTAATCTAGACTATTATACGCATCCGGCCCACTCAGAAAAGTAATTGCCTATCCCTGGGTTAGAGTTAGTATGGGTTCAAATATCCGTAAAAAAAAACATAGGTGCAATAGTATGCAAGTGCAAATGTCGTGGGTTCAAATGTAATGGAACCATTTGAAAGCTAAGAAATATACAAAGATTCTGTTATTAATTGAAAGAAAGTAATTTGAGGGAGGGCAGTTCAATTGGTTTGACACGACTACTCGGGTATGAAAAAATCAGCTAATCCTAACGATAGCTGTATGTAAGCAGATGCGTTGAAATTAGTACGAATAGAGAGAACTCCGCATTTGAGATTTTGTAAGTGACAATAAGATCCTAGTTAAAAGAATTATCATTTTAATTTATCCAAATAATTAGATCAACCACTGAAAATTTCAAAGCAATTGGTAGAGTAATCAGGGAGAAAGGCGATTTTTCATAACGATAGGAATAATAATAATAATAACATGACAAAGAACCACAACAACATAATTTAAACAAAAAGATCCATAGATCCACTACGTGTTCAACAACAACATAGTAACAAAGCGATCCATAGCCCATGGATATATATAGGTCCACTACGGGTGTCTCCAAAATGTCGTGTACCACTCTAGTACCCCGCATCCCACTTGTACCACGCGTCCTACTTGTTCCACGTGACAAGTGGGACACGGGGTAAAAGTGAGACACGTGGGGCAAGTGTGATACGTGGGAGAAGAGGGACACGACATTTTGAAGACACCGGAGACCAGTCCACTACCGCGTTTCCCCGAAAATAAGACCTACCATGGAAATAATACCCAGCCTAAATTGTAAAAATGATTTTACTATAAGCCTTAGTCAATAAGCGAATTCATTTTTGTTGATTTATTGAGTTAAGTCTATAGCACGTTTTAAATGATCTACAATCTATGTCTTGCATTTATTTTGAATAAAAACGTGTTATTAATAAGTAAAGGGAATTCCGTTTGTCATATTTTCTATATCGGAAAATCTCGTAATTCTCTACTTTGTAATTTTGTTTTCGATAATTAAAAATATAAGACATCCTCCGAAAATAAGTTCTAGCGTTATTTTTCGTAGGAAAATTGAGTCTTATTCCCGGGGAGCCAACGGAGTCCATCCGTCGCTTTGTGTCACGGCTCAGTGCATGTCGCCTTGGAGATAGCGTTTGTAAACATTGAAAGGTAATTGGTTGTCCAACGTGGGAGCTTCACGAAATAGATACAGAGATATGTTGAAAGTATGATTTTATTCAGGTTTTCATGCGTATTGTCTTGCTTTCTGCATACTTATGTTAGTGGTATAATGTATAAATGAACTCCATGCTTCTTACCAGAGATTGTGAAACCAACTCACCAATCTATTAGGTGTGCTTTCCAATATCTGAACAATCTCTGGAAGTTGGGTTCAACTTACAGACTCAGCCTATGGCTGCATGGAGAAGTGACACTTGAGACCGGTATTGACAGACATAAAGATTGAATAAACTACTTATTCTAACTGAATATGCAGCTGGCAATTGCAATGCTAGCTTAACATTGATTGTGCGATTCATCACAAATAGGTTTAGGCTGTTGATTAATTATTAGCCTACATTATAGCAAAGACTACGATACCGGTACCAATACCTCATTGAGATGCGCTATATGCTTCTACATATAGACATAAGGTATTTCATGCACACCTGTGACCCAATTGATATTTGGGGCAAGCAAATAATATCTAGTGTAGCCTAGTGTAATATCTAATATCTCATGTCACAATGAGATTTACTTTATTGGACAAAAATGCCAGACACTTGCACGAAAAAACACCAGTGCAAGAAATGTAACAATAGGTGTCAATGGTCAAAGTTCTTGAATATATGTAGTCTATATCTTGCTTGATTCTAAAAGATTCACCACCACCAAAAGATTAATGACAGTATTTTGTTGTTATTTTTCATATTATTTGGCAGTTTATGGACTTCAGTTAGTTTTCGCATTTGACTCTTTGCATAATCATCAACAAAAGCCAGTATGAGTATGACAACAGCACTACGGTTTGAATCTGGAAATTTAGGTCAAACTTTACAAAAGTCCTTGGAAAGGGAACATCAACGCATTCTGGTAAGTGTATAAGCGCACCATGTTGTAGATTGGTTTTTGAAATTTTTTCAGCAATGTTTGGTTACTAGACTAAATTGTGATTAGAGCGTGAAACCATGACCCATATTTAAGAATGGGCAAGATGCTTCATAATGTATATTTATTTCAGAGAGATGAACAACAAGCACAACGTGTGAAAGATATTAATCTGTGAGTATGACAAATTCTCTGGAGAAATTTCGATATGTATACCGTACTTATCTGTAGTAAAATTTTATTGTTATTATTGTGCCTTATGTATTTGAAAGCAAACCTATTTGTTTGCATTTGTAAGAGCTACTTTTCTATAGATGTCTAAGCTAATGATTCAGAGAAAATTTAACCGCTCGATTATATATGGCATTGTCCCATATTTGGTTTTGCACAAACCCCAAAGATTACAGACTAATCAAAGATGTTCTTTCACAACCAACGTTCATTTGATAATCCTTGCACACAAAATAGCAATGACATTATTAATCAAACCATATAAAAGGTGTTAAAACTAGTCTTCATTTTTAGTGATGTTGATTCTAATCTAAAGGCTGAATGGGCAGAAAATTTGGAGGAAGCCAGTATGAAAAAAATGTACAAAATTAATCTTGACAAAATCAAGCATGAATTAGACTATGGGAAAAAATCATTTGTTATGGTAAGTGAAAAGTATTCCCATAAGAATTCTACGTACTTAAAGGCTCTAAAGTTAATTGAAATATATTGAACGTTTTGAAAATTACTTTGCTTTATAGAGTAAATAAAGTAATGAGTAGGATTATCAAGTTCAATAGGCCTGTCCGAAAGTTGGCACATCGGTGTTAGACATTAGGAACATCGCACCACTGATTACCCTATGTGGGTCCACAGGTTTGGATTCTGTGACACGTATAGATCATTTTTTGATATATATTTTTCATGGCAGGTTAGACGAGCTGCCCTACAGGAACTCCTTGAGAAGGAACATAAGCAGTATGAAATGGAGTTACGTAACATGGAAAAAGCATTTTATGTGAAAAGAACATGATGCTGTGTCAAAATATATTTTAGTATAAAATTGGGAGAGGCTGATTATGAATTTATCATGTTTATTTTTCTATTTCTTTATTCTTTTTATAAATGCAATCTGTGTATCAAGAAAAATATGACATTTAAAACGAGAACTGACTTCTTCATCACAACTGAGAAGATTTGAGACGCCTATCTTAACAGCAAAAGTTACCTGAGTTGCTTTCCACTGTATGTCTCTACTGAGCAAGGAAGTGATATTACACTCTTCAGATATATTGATTTCTGGGTGACACTGTTATATTGCAAACATCAAATACAATTTAGCTGACAGTGAAATAATATAGTAAATGAATGCATCTTGAATGTAACCTGACAGCTAAGTTTAGCCCAGTCTATAGGGAATTTTGGAACTAATCTTTGTCACTGCAAATATACTAAAATTTCCCTGAAGGCGAAACAACAAGTGAGTTAGTTTAATTTTATATAATATCTAAATTCTGAAAGCCCAATAAAAGCTTGACCAAAAAGACCACGAAAATGAGCTAAAGTAGGGTGACCATACTTCCTCCTTTTGGAGGATTTGTCCTCCGTTTTCGTTAAAAATTTTATGTCCTCCGAGGACGCTCTAAAACAGGGGTCGGGAACCTTTTTGGTCAAGAGAGCCCTAAAATATACATATTTTCAATTGCATTTCCGTGTGAGCCATATAACATTTCTTCACTTAATTAGGCCTGAAACGTTTACTCAAAAGTCAACACATTCCATGTCAATATACATTTAATGTGACTTCTGATGCTGCATGTTGTCGCTGCGGGCCTTGAACGGTTGCCCACATGCAGCCCAAGTTGAAATCTGCGATACTCATCACCCTTTTTCGTTTAGGCATCTCCGTAGTATTTTAAAACTCTATCGCCTTGTGATGTCACAATATATGTTCCAGAATCCCCATGTTTTGTCACAATGCCTGTTTGGTAATTCTCTTACATAACATAGACATGCGCTGGACCCGCGTTGTCAAACGTATTGGGAATTTTTTGCCAAATTTGGCCATAAAATAGTTTGAAGTCTAGTAACAATAGTAAGCTTAATCTTAGAATAATAGATTTTTTCTGGGAGCCATATGCCGTCACCAAAAGAGCCATATATGGCTCGCGAGCCATGGGTTCCCGACCCCTGCTCTAAAAGGTCAAAATGCCCTCCTTTTTCGAGGGATTGAATATTTAAAATTCTTTTATGACATATTCAACATTGTTTGATGGGTTAAGAAAATTTTAAAGTTAAGTAATGCATTGAGATACCATATATATATATATATGCAAGGGCGGATTATGCCCCTTTGGTGCCCTAAGCACTGAAGACTTTGGTGCCCCCTTTATCTATAATTAAAATTATAACAACAATATACAACATAAGTGTCCAATAAAAATAATCACAACCAACAGTGAATGAAACAACTTTTGCGAACATTTTTAGGTTTTTCAACTGTTCTATATTGGACTGATATATCGATTGAGCTCTAATCCTGAGGAAGTGTGACAATGTAGATTCATGCGTCCAGTCTCAACGTGAGTCGCAATATTAAAGGATACAACTCACAACTGTAGTTTGAAATTTTACCGGTACCTCGGGTAGTTCAAGGTTGCAAGGTTGAAGGACCGCAAAAACTTTAAGGAGGTCTCGCGGGCCGCAAGTCGGAGAAAACCCAAAAGTGATCGAAATATCGCGAGATTACATACTTTAAATTTAATAAACGACGAGAGTTTACCCTTCTAATCAGACTACTATTATGTTGCATGGGTAGCGTTATTTTAAATAAGATATATAAAGCCTCCAGGTATTTTAAAACTAACTCCCTAGAATTACCGTTGTATTTTCCGCATCTCTCGTTTAATCTCGCTTCAAATTATATTCTTTCGTGACAGATATTACTTGAAATCAAACGGTAAAGTGTCCCACTCGTCCCACTAATGCCACGTGTTCCGGAGAAGTGAGACACGGGACAAGAGGGGGAAGGGGGTACGAGGGTACTAAAAAAAATGTGGATTGCGCGGAGTTAAGTCGGCTCTGCTTTTCGTCCCTGCTGGCACATGGCCCACGCTTGAAAACATAGGGGTGTTTTACTATAATAAAAGCACAAGACTTTAGAAAAAAAAGGTTTAAATCTCGGGATCACAACCCCAGTTGGAACAGCTAAAAAAAACTCAAAAACGTTCTGCTATCAGATTCAAATATACAATAAAATTGTTCTATGGGCCTCACAAATGTATCAGCATGACGGCTTTGAATCACCCTGGTCTACCTTATCAACAAAATTCTTGAGTCTTGGCTTTGCTGACCACTAGATTGTTGAAATGCGATCGCGGAATCGCCACATAGTGCAAATAGTTCATTGGTCCAATAGTTGAAAAGACAAGAATTTTTTTTAAAAACAAAAATGCAGCAACAAAGAGAATACTAGGAAGAAACGACACTTTACAAAACGACTCATAGGCCCATTTCGTGTCCAATAAATAAGTTCCAGTGTTTATTTTTAATAAAGAAGGTTCATGTTAAACTTGAAGACAAAAAAAAAAACATTTTGAAGTTTGAGTCGTCTGGTGAACTCGTAATATTTTAATGAACACCGATAAACTATATAAAATTCGGCTCTAAAATTTCTGTGGTGCCCCTTTTTGCTTGGTGCCTATTACTGCCCTAAGCACTTGCTTATATTGTTTAATGGTTAATCCGGCGCTGTATATATATCGATAAATACCTTAATAAACCAAAATGCCAAACCTTGGGGTTTTAGGTTATTGCTTGCGCAACACCTCATTTCTAATCTACTGAAAAAATCAGAAATTGTAGCTCAGTTTTACGAACTGGTTGAATGTAGGAAATAAGTGTATATAAATTGATATAGGATCAAGACGTTTTTAGTTTAAATAAGTTATACATTTGTGGCAACAAACATTTCATTAGAGCTTTGCTAACTGATCATCCGTTCTGGACGGCCTCAAAATAACGCTAAGTCATGAGGTTGGTCGTTGGTCATGAAGTAGACTATGTTAATTCCGGCAAAAATCTATGAAAAAACGCTTTAGTCCGCATTTGAATGCAGTTTGAAGTTAGAGAAATGACTGATCTACCAACATTTTTGAGGTATCTTATTATCTTCCCGATCTCAAAAGTGTAATTTATATACAACCAAAGATTATTGCTGTCAGCATCAATGTGACACAACAATGACTATTTCCACACTGCATGTTGATATCTAAGGTTACACCACAATGATCATTTTCTATAACCATTCACAAATTTAAGTTCTCCATTGCGAAGTTCTAATTGCGCTCCTAAATCAGTAGGCCTATTCAAACCGTTGAATGGGGTTCAACTGGAGCTAGTACAATAGCGTTTGGGGTTTGGCGGACACGCAGAGGTTTAGAACCACTGCTCTAGGTTAAATGCATACTTGTTTATCACATAAAAACCGTGTTGTTCTGCAATTATCTTCGCGTCATTTCATCTTGTTTTCAGAAATTTCGATTTTAGCAGCAAATGAAAACCTTTTTTACTCAGGAACTAAAGCAAAAGTATCCATGCTTTAGATTTAGAAAAGATATAATTGATAGTGAAGCGGAGTGCAATATACTTGTGGCTACAGTTGCTCGTTGACATGACAAGAATGCATTATTGCATGGTCGTCACTTCGTCTATTGTTACTTCTATTTTTAATCCTGAAGAATCTAGTAGATATTTGGTGTATATGTCAGGCACATGTGAAATATTGTTCTGCCAAACGATGTGTCCTCCTTTTCGGGTTGGAAAATATGGTCAACCTAGCTAAAGTTATTACACATCTCGAAAATTTGTCTGGTTGAAGAAGTGTTCACAGCTTTAACATTTCAATTGTCAATGACCGTTTGTGATTAGCCAATGCACTGAAAGTAACAAGAAAGTCGGAACTATAGAACTGGTCGGCAAACTGCGCCTGTATTATTTTTTGCGGTCCCCGAACTAGCCTACTTCACTCGATGCATAAAACAATAATTGTTTCTAATTTATTATCGTTTGCCCACGGATTTATGTCGTGGCAATGGCTGCTGTGCGGTGGTTGTTTTCTAATAAATAGTTTACTTGCCATTATATAATGGCTCTGATAAAATCACACGCATGGTCATTAGAAAAACGGTGAAAGTTTATTTTGACTTCATAATGAGCCTGAAAAATAAATGAGCATAATAAAATAGAATCAGGAGAGTGAACCAAATCCTAATAGCCTAGTTTAAGATTTTAGACTGAAAGGTGTTGTCAAAAAAGTGGTACGTGTTCGCTCACCCAAAATTAATAAAACATACACACACACATACATACAATCATACATACAAACAAAAATTGAAAGAGAAAAAAAAGGAGAAGATTTATTGCTTAGTGAAAAGAAAAAAATACGAATACATAAAAATTTCGCCACACCATAATAATTATTTTGTAATAGGGATTGCCTAATTAGATATCAAATTAGTTAACAAAAGTGAAATGTATAGAAAAATATTTCTAATGGGATATTGCCAAGCTGATTATAGCTCCTAATGCCAATGTTCGCAAAAATAGACACTTAGACTTCAATAATTAGAATGAAAATTATCCTTCAGTAACAAAAAACAGCATTATAATTCATTCGGTCACTACGGCTAATATTATACATAGTGGTCCAAACAAAACTGAATTTATTAATCTAGCAATTTTTAATAGGTTTGTGGCCCACCTGGAAGTGTTGCTGTGGCCCAGCAGTGGTCCATGGCCCACTGGTTGAGAACCGGTGAGCAAAAGTGACTAGACCCCTACACTCATCAAAGACAGAACTAGCCAAATTACAGTCCAGATTATATCAAATATAATCAATCAGTTTAAGCGTAAATATATACTACTACGTTTAAGTAAATATAATTTACCATAATTAAGACAGTATGGTACTGGGAAAGAGATTTATTATTTGTAAACCAGAAAAAAACATAAATACAATGATAATAATAACAAGAGAGCTATGCTCAAATATATGGACACGTAGAGTCACATAATTTTGATGACGTCATAGCGAAAAAAAAAGTAATAGCCTTCTGGAGAAAATTTTCATATCTTTAACCACTAAAAATTTCAAAGCAATTGGTCCAGT